AGTGCTCTCAGTGTGGCTGAACAGTATCTGCCTGTTGGCACCTGCTCCAGCGACCGCCTGACTCACCCCTCAGAGGCAGGAGTCCATCAACCCTGCAATTAGCTGCTCTCCTTCGTCAAGTCAAGGGGAAAGCTAAAACCAGCCCAGTACAGAGGGGAGTGTCCCCCACAGAGCCTGAATCGAGTCTCTCTTTAAAACAGCCCATAAAGAAGTGACAGGAATGAACCTGTGGGCTCAGCCCCACGCGGAGGGACGCAAAATTCTGCACCTCCTGCTTGGCTTAGTCAAGGGCCATAAATACCACCAGCATTCCCACTGGGATCAGCTTGGCAGGACCTGCCCCCCGCCCCTTCACACATTCCAGCATCAGTGCCCAGGCCGGGATCTGTTCCTAACAGTAGGTACAAAGTGAGTGATTGGATCTGCTATATTTAGAGCAAACAATCAATACTCCGCGTGCCTAAATGGTTACCAGCATTTGATACATCAACAGCCTCTGTTTGCTGTTTGAAAGAAAGTGGTTTAAAAAAAGGGAACTGCCTTCCCAGTTATCCTCAGCCTGTAGCTGTTGAGCAGAGGAGGCTATTTCAAAGGAAAAATTAAATTAAGCCAACCCTGAAAGAAAAAAAAACCCCGTGACACCAGCTGGGATTGTTAGTGCCACAACCCCTTCTGTGGAGAGAGGGGTTTAAACACAGCAGAAGCAAACTGGGGCTGTTGGGTGCAGAAGGACATCATCCTCCAACCCCCCCTTTCCCAGCCTCCCAGAGGTCCCAGTCCTGACACGAGGTTCCTGTCTCTCTTCCTCCAGATCCCTCCAGTTCCCAGCCCTTCCCTTCCTCCCTCAGGCAGCAAACCTGGTCCTGCATAAGCATCCATCCTTCAGGCATCCCAAATCCCCTGCCACTGCCACTCAGCCCCTTGCAATGTTGTCCCCAGCCGCATTCAAGCCAAACTACTGACACCAACTAATAAAGAACCGCGGTGAAAAGCTGGGACCTGCGAGAGAGTCAAACCCCTGCTGCGCTTAACGATTTAACACGGAATAACAGCATTTCCTCCCTAAGGTTGGCTCGAAAGGGAGGGATGCACAGAGGGACATCAGGCTGGGTGCTGCAAGGGGCGGTGCGGGACGGGGCGGGACGGGGCGGGACGGGACGGGCGGT